GGCATCCTTTTGCGCAAAGCTCTGGAAGAGGAAGGAACCTTGGGGAAGAATGAGAATCGCCCATATACCTTGGGGTCCTTAGTCTTCGCCTAGGGCTTGGCCTCGTTTGAACGAAAGGGAAGATTTCTCTAATTGCATTCTAACCACAACGCCCTCGTATCTTGCGATATTGCCTAGTCATATTGTCCTCAAACAGTAGCAAATGAACTGCGAATGCTAGAAAATCCAACAGTACTCACATCGTGAAGGCTTTCTCCAACATAGAAAGACCCTTATCACGTTGAAGGCTGTGTGACACAATGTCGTGCCGCTTATTTGGCGTTTTCCGTCCAGAGCGGTCCTCGGGCACTGTTGCGTCCGAAAAGTAATGTTTTCGTACCGAAATCATTGGAGGATTAACGACGGCATGAAAAGATCTAAAAAAAGAATGCCAAAACGCATGCACAGCGGCAGTCCTCAAAGGGTCAATACCCAAGAGCCTGTACAAGTTTAACTTTTGGCAACTAAGTGGTACCGCTTTAAAGAAGTAACCTAGATTAAAATGGTGGGGTAAGAGCGGGCGATGGTGTAATTGTGGATGTCGAACTGACTGAAAATGAAAAAAAGCAAGTTAAACCACCGATGAGGCCCCTAAATGATTTTCTCTCTCAATCTCCTCTAAATGAGGGCGTGTCGGACGAGTTGTCTGAACTTGGTTGCTCCATGGCTTTACCAACCTGCGCATATTGAATTAGCCGCTACGTGGTAATCCACGTTGCGTGTCATGGGGTGTGCACGAGGTATCTCGTCCACAAGCTCACATAGCCGTCATTAGCTCACTTTGCAAGGCCCTAATGCCATTGCAGCGTACTTTCGAGCCAGGGCAACGGCCCTACTGCGATACTGGCGGATTCTTTATGCTACCCATAGGGTTTGAAGACCACTTGGACTCTGTCCTCAAAACCGCCTCCATTTGATGCTCCCGCCTGGGCTCTTTTACCTAAACAGCGGCTCATGACCACTGCGATCACACACATTCTATTTTGCCAAACTGTAGTTGTCTCACTTTTCCCCGGAGCCCCACTCCCCTATAAGGTTTAGTCTCAGAGCGTTCACCTTCCTGCTTGAGATTTGGAGCCGCCGTTTTCAGATCGTCTATGCTGTAGGCATTCGCGGTCGGACCATTGAGTAAAATTTGGGTAGGCCTTACCACCCACAGATGGGTTGTTCGACACAACCTTACCAGGGCCTTAAAGGCAAAGTTCGGGCTCAGACCCACTAAGAAGCCTTTACCATGGCTAGAAGTGCTGGTACGCAAGTGCAAAGGTAGCGCCACCTTTCTACATCGAAACGCGTCACTAGGACCCTAGGCGCCATGGACTTCTAACAGACTCCACCAAACTTAACATGGTCCGCCCACCGTTCGATATCTTGTCTGCGTCGCCACGTTGATCTGCTATGCTCTCTCTTCTCGGACTTCTCTACCACTCTCCGCGCTCACATTATCTCTCATCTCCCTGCCTGTCTTTTGAACTTCTCCACATAAGCAAAATGCTCGTATTTTTGTGATATATTCCATTTTTTTCATTTTTCTCCACTGCGGTCAACCTTCTTCTTCTCTCCTTTGAATGGTCACCCCATCAATTTCAATCCTGATCTTGCCTCTAACTGTTACATGACGTAATATTCAAATAGAAGAAAGCCTTTTCGTGGCTTACAATAGCATACGGCATGCTCCTGTGTTTGATCGCCCCTACTTCAAGCGTATGCTTGTTTATACTCTGCCGTGAGGCGCGCATGGAGTGTAAGAAGCTCTATCACGCTGCTAGCTTATGGCCATCCGTCTTGCATCAGGAAGTCGTAACGTGCCCTAGATTCCAACTAGGCAGAATGCACCTCGCACCCTTCACTGCAATTTTGGCCTAGCTCTGAAGGAAGCCCATACCAAGATAGTGAACATCAGCGGTATCCTCTCCCACCTCTTTTCAAGAAAATTTTCAATATTCCAACGTTTTCATTTTTTTCAAAAAATAATTCTTGCAGCGCAAAACAAAACAAACGCATTCGTAGTGAATTGCCTTCAAAACCCGTCGAAATGCATTTGAAATTGATACACAATTCTTTCGGGAAATCCCAAGGTCACACGTTGCCCTTTACACTTTCTTGTCATTCCCTTTCTTCTATTCAAATGGAGTGCAATGATTCCAAAAGAACCGTCGAAGGGTCGTTTGCAGCAAGCAAATTGGAGATGATGGATGTTCTGCAATTGTGAACAAACCTCGTTACAACATACTAAAGATGTATGATGGCGCGGCACTCTTCTCAGCAAAGCAGTAAATTTCCCTGCTAACAGACTGATTGAAATACTTTCTTCAGGGGACGCATCGCAATATACAGGGGCATTCTCCTGGGGTAGGCCTAGAAAGGTGCAGGGACATCTGGGAAAATATTTGCAGGCACAATCCGGGAAAGTTCCCTCTCCACCTCAGGCTTAGTCCCGTTTTTGACAAGAAGGACATGTCTTACGCAGTTTGAAATGCATTGCTACAACAATGCCTCCGTAATTTGCAATAGCGCCTAAATCATCTCAAATTTCTACCTTTGGAAAGCTTACCCTAAGTAACTTGTGAAGCATTGTCTGTTCTGTGAACATTACTTCTGTCTGGACTTCAGCCCACTATTTCACACTTTTATACATCAGCAAATGCCCCCTGTATATTGCAATAGCATCCCAAAATGTTTTGAGCGATTGGTCATGCGTTCGGCATTGTGCAAGATTGAGTGCGAGATTAATGTTTATATACTGCCTACATGCTAAGGAAATCAACTAAAGCAAAAGGCCTAGAACGCCCCGTGTTGATCAGTCCCTTTTTGGGATGCGCCACGCCTTCTACTCAACTTCGAGTAGGTAGTGGCATTTTGCGTATGGCCTTTGAGGAAGCCAGCCTGGGTTGAAGTCAGTGTTTTGCTCTCCCAAACTATCTTGCCTCGTCCCAAACCAATGGACCAATCGACCCCAGGATGAGTAGAACGCTTTGCTGTCCCACGATTGTCCAGGATTTGATCCAACGCGGACCGTGTGCGCAGTAAGCAGCGCCAAGTACCCTTACACCACATTCACTCTAACCCCTCCACCACAAGAAGTCAATTAGGCCAATCAAAATGATGTGTATAGCATAACGGTAACATTGAGACGATGACCCCAAAATTGCTCCCACTATCTGTCAACAGCTAGCTTCCTCTTTTGCTCTTATCAGCAATACAGCTGGAATGACTTTGCATGGGTGCATGACTCATTACATCGTCAACAAGGCGGAAGTGGTGTAGTGGCAAGTGGCGCTGCTCAATATGCGCCATCGCGTGGTTCAAGTCATGGACACTGCTTTGTACAGACCTAC